TGATTCTCTAGTTCCGTACTTCAATGAATGCCTCGTTTGGATTCGAACCATTAGTGTCATCCATAATACTATCTTCATCAGATAGGATAGTGTATGTTAAATTCTGCTGATCCATATTCATCAGTGAGGACGGTGTAAATAGATGAGCGTCATCTAAATAAATTTTGTCTTGCTGTGCTTCCTTTTGTTGTGCGCTATCCTCTTTTTGTACTATTGGTGTTTGTTTTGACGGTTGAAAAGACATTTCTTTTGCCGAAAAATGAAAATGAATGCTCTAAAAGTTTATCTATAAAACAAGAAAAACATTCTATATTTATAATGTAATTGTCTTATATTGTTCGATGTTATATGTATAAAATAAACGAAAGATTTGTTTTCTTGTGTTAGTTTATTTTTCCATACGCATCCTCATCAAAGCAGATAATGAAATTTACAGGAAAAAAATAAATATTAATGTCATTTACGATGTTTAGGGCTCATGACATGAATACAATATTCTTTATTTTCACCATATTCAATCGACCAAATAATTGATTGTTTGTAGGGAAATTGTTGAGTGAACTCTCGTATAAGATCAAGTACTCGATTTTCGAATTCTCGTAAGAACTTTTCTTCTCCTTCTTCCATAGAATCACGCTTAAGTGGTTCGGAGTCACTTGGTAATACCACTACGATTTCTTTTGTATCTGCTGCTGCTGCTGCTCCTGATAACGACAACGAGGATGGTAATGACATCGTACTTAGATAAGTGTAAAAATCTACAATATAAATCAAACGAAAACATATTTATTGTTATGGAATCTTTGCATCTCCTATATATACTAAAAGATTCTGCTTTTTTACTTTCTTTATTATGGTTGCGTGCAGTGGCCCGTAAGCTTTATCCAGGAAACACCCCGATGAGGTGGGCTTGACTCGTTTCCCAACATAATCATCCAGCAGTAGCAGCAGCAGCAGAAGCAAATGAGTTTACATTAGATTTGATCATTCGAGAAAGCAA